CAAAAAGACCGTCTGGAGTCGAAAAAGCAGTAAAAGGTATATCTGATTCACGTAGCTTAACTTGGTAGTAACCCCAGAGTAAGTCCATGCACGAGTACCAATAGCTGCCGGCCATCGCATCAAAGTTGTCTTCTTTGCGAGGCATCGAATACCGGTAGAACCGTAGCTAAATTCAACTGACGATAGTCGTGCGCAATTCGCCATCCGACTGGTTTCTTCACACAGAAAGTCGGTGCACAAAACGCTGACGTACGCGGTCGAATGATGCCAGCTTGAACCATCTCTTTGGTCCATTCCTTTATCGTTTTCTTCTGATCAGGACTTTGGCGCCATTGTTTCACCAAAATAGACGAAGTGTCAGGCTTGAACAGAATCTCATGCTCAATCCCTTCACGTACGGGGGGTGTCTCATTCGGAAGTTCCGTGCGAAAAACCGTATCCGCATACTTACGTAGCGTATCGTACGCCGGATTGTCCTTGAGAGCATCCTATCCTTGACTCTTGAAGCGTTCCGCCTTCTTCGAGTCATGCGGACTGATAACAAACACCGCTTCGATGTCCTTGTCCCTACGCAACATTTGCTGGAACTGGTTGGACGAAATAACCTTCGTTCGTCCAAACTGGCCGTTGTGGCCATGCTGCCGATAGTAGTTGTAGATCTCACTGCTCTGCGTAATTATGGTGCGGCGTTGTCCTGTCACCCAACGGGCTGGACGTGCCTTCGGCAGTCTCAACTTCACAGTCTGCGTGTTCTCCACGTTGATGCGAGGTGCAATCTGTCCAGTACTCCAGTCGATGTCAGGGCTCTGCTCCCGCAGCCACACAGGAACATGCATGACTTGGAATGTCCCCGTTGTCAAGGGAAATCCTGGTAGCTGTAGAGACATCTCTACAGTCCGACGTGGACGATGCACAATCTGATCATAACTGAGATCAACTTGCATCATGTCACCTTCAATGACATCCAACTCAAGCTTCATCACTAACTCCTCAGTTACACCGTTCAGGCTACTGCCGTTGTCAATGAATATCGTGACGGGCCTCTCTTGGTCTTCCGTCTTGAATGCTCGGGCTTCAGCCTCTAGGATCGCATACACTGCGCCCTGCATGTACCGGTTTGCTTCCGTACGTTTTGGCTGAGTACAATCTGGAGAAATGTGACCAGCCTCGTCACAATTTCTGCACGTAGCTGTCTTCTTCCAAACATCGTTCTTGCCCTTTTTCTTTTCGTAACGCTTGTTGTTCTGCCGTTTCGATTTAGGCGGATGATGCCCCGAGTCCGACGACCCTTTTGAAGGCTTCGAAGGTGCTCAAGGCGGTTTCCCGGAGTAGTGCGCAAACTCGAAGTTCGAAGCAATTTCAATGGCTTCTTGTAGCGTTGATGGACTCTCTTCTTTAATCTTCTTTGCTGTTTCTTCACGTAGCCCGTTTTGAAAGAAGAATCGTTTCTCCAACTCACTGATCGTCAATTCTGTCTGCGATAGCAAGTCTTGAAACTTGGAGACATACTCGTGAATAGTCTCGGTCTGTTTGAGACGAAACATTCTCTCGCGAAGATCATACTCGACGTCCTTTGGTCGAAAGCGCGTGCGCAGCTGTTGCTTAAACAACGACCACGTGGGGTTCACACTCGCTCTCTCACATTCGGCTATAAAAGCGCGATACCAGTTCAACACTGACTTGCCTAAGCTGCTGGAGATTATCGTCACGAAACCTGACGATTCTGCCTCCATTAACTCACGTCTGCTTGCGTAGTACTGCTCGGTGGCAAAGATCCACAATTCAATGTCTTCACCATACGTTCCTTCATACATCGGAGGGTCCTTCTTCTTCTGCTCACCCCTAGCGGCAACGAGATATTCGAATCTCGCATTAGCTCGTTGCATTTGGGCTTGCATTTGCGCTTGCATCTGAGCTTGATACTGCTGTTGCTGCTGCGTAATGTATACGAGCAGCTGCTGCAAGGACATGGTCTCAGGTCCAGCCGCATCCTGAGCAGCATCAGTAGCAGGGGAGGCTGACTCAGCCTGTGCATTGGCCCCTTCACTTGACGCTTGCGATCTTGTATTTGTTCGCATCGTGGGCTGGGTAGCTTCAGCGTCGCTCGGAGCACTAACACGGCTCTGTTGACGAGGACAAGGGTTCGGTGACGGGCGCTCAGCTGCACGACTCCTTCTTTGAGCCATTACAAGCAGGACTTCTCAGCGCAAGTCTTTTAAGATACCAGAACCCTATACCGAAGTTAAACGAAGCGAAAAAAGGTTCCGATTAAAGTTCCTCCCTACAATCTACGTTTCTTGTCTACGTGGATGGAGTGATCAAAAGATCCTTCAAGAATTTCTTGAATTTGCTCAATACGTTTCTTGAGCAATTTACTGAAGTTGTGAATGACGTTCCGGGCGGCTGCGTCCTTAGAATCCGGAATTTCGTTTCGGATCAGGCGGACGAGCTTAAGTTGCTTGACCGTTGTTAGCCACAAGTGCAGACGAAGCTGATCGAGCTGCTTGTGTCGATCAGTCAAGAACTTTGTGCTGTTTACAAACGGATCTTCGGGTTGGCGAGTCTTTCGCTTACCCATAAACAAGCACACTGAAACAGATGCAGTAGCAACGGATGTAGATCAAGCACAACCAGTGAGTATCTAATCAAACGTTCACTCCTTTAAGATCTGATGCCGGATAAGGATCCACGTAACGTGAAAGCGTTAGCCCGCAGGCCACCAGAAAGAGTTTCCGATTGTGTGTACCACACTAGTGCGCAACCACACCAACTAGCCACTGGACGTAACAGTTCGTGCTGAGGCAATACCCTTTGCGATCTAGTGCTTCCCCAACTATGTGGCTGGCACCAAAACCCTCAGGACAACTCGCTTCTGGCTATGCCACCACGAGTGCCCTACTTGAGCCGAAGCTTGACACGACAAGTGCTACTATGTCACGAAAGTAGCGAGGCAGCGTAGGAGCGTGGACGGCGAGTACGGCGCCGTAGACAGTTGTAGGGGAGGAGAGGAGTTGCTGCTCGAAAGCAAATTGAGAAGTGATTAATCAGTTAGAGTTTGCGGCGGCAAGCTAGTAGCTGCCGCACAACCAGTAGTTCTTGACAACCGGATATTCACGCACGTATCCAGGTCCATCCTAAAACCTATCTTTCTCAAATCCTGATTTTCTCTGTAACTACCAATGAAAACCTATGAATCCTAATTCTTATCTTGGTCGGAAATTTCGCACAGCGTCCCATAATCACAATTTTCGGCTATGCTAAATCAGCAATAATTTACTGTCGAGTGATCCTTCAGCCCTACATTCGCTACATGTACTTATCTCGCACTTGTGGCACATCAATATCCTAACTCAATAATCTATTTCCAGTGATGAGAATGCTCAATAATTTATCGTAGCTCAGCCAAATGCCAGAGCCAATTATTTACTTTCAGCTTTGATTGGCAATAGACAATAATCGGGCGTGCTGTCATATCAGGTCTTAGGTACATGCGGATACCGGTAAGGATGGCAGAAAGAATTCACTGAATTCACTCCCTGGTCGTTTGTTGTGAAATGAATGTTTCAATGCTAGCCCTACCATATAGTTCAAGACCATTTATTATGTGTTTTTTTAAATCACCAAGTTTCCGCTCGCAATCAAAAGTAATCGAGAAAAAAACATAAAAGCACCCAAACGAACATGTTCTTCCACGCCCAGAATAGCAAATGCATGATATCAAACTGCGAACGACACCATTTATTTTAGGAAGCACTACTGCCATGAGGACGTCCTCCATTTGGACTCTATTTTTGCCCTCGTCGGCTTGGTGGACTATTGCCACAGCGCAAGACGCTTTCTTGGCGCTGGAAAGAGCTTCGAACCCCCGACTTATAATGCAATGGCGCCCGTCTATTACCTCCCACTTCAACTCGCAGCAAGTTCTTCTCATGTTGCAACGTTTGTTTCTCTTGTTGTAAGAGTTGCTTGTTTGCTGCTTCTCTTGCTGCAGTTTCTCAAAGTCCGATAAAGGAACAGAGGGCACAGTTGATTCAGGTGATGGATGTGAAGACGGGGTAGACGGTCGTGACGTCCGCGATCGTCTAGATAAGGAGCCAGACTCTCGTCCGTCTTCACTCACAGGACTCATAGACGAAGCGCTGTGCATCGAATTGTGTCGTTGAAGACGAGACTCTTTCTGTTGCTTCACAGCAGATTCCTCACGACGCGAAGGCGTCGCAACTTCAGCTTGAAGTGTCTGTAGCAAAGTGTCTAGTCGAGCATCGGAAGCTGCACGTTTGTACTTCTGTAAACGTGTAGGTGAAGGCTCATCGTGTTTGCTGCTACTCGGTGTGACGACGTTTTCTTCTGCGCGTTTCAAGTCTTGCCACATTTCCCTGCGCTTCCACTAGAATAGAATCTTGGAGGTTGGGAGGAGCAGATCTAGTGCTGGTAGTGAAAGAAGTTGTGCTGGTGTCGTGGTGGTCATTTACGATCTGGTGGTTCGTTTTTCTTGGCATTCATCTTGCCACATGCTCAACTTGGCATACGCGGTGCTCTATTGGCGGCTAAACGACACGCAAATCAGACAGTACCTCGTTTTCTATCATGTCGGGTTGCCCCCTGAATACTATGACATAATTGCAACGGTTCACCTGATCATGTCTTCAATTCATAGCTTGTGTATTGCATTAATGGTGGCAAGTTCACTATGGTTGCGCAACTTTGTATTCACGCCCTGGGGTACTCCTACTGCTTCGTCCCAGGCAACAAGCAAGGAGCCGATGAAAGTAATTGAAGTCCAAACAAGAACTAGTAGTCGGGACAACTCTCTGGCCCTCAAAGGAGTTCTGAGAAGTACGAGTCGGGTCAATTCAGCGATACACAGAGGAATGTCTCGATTGACCACACATATTACCAATAGATATGGAGTTTTGGGAGTCAACGGGCGATATTTTCACGTAATTTCGATGTCCCGCGAAGTTATCGAGTCTTCACTGCAGTCCATCCAAGCCCATCGGATGAGTCTGCTACTTCCGAGTATGTTACTAAACCGGTTCTACGTGGCTGGTCTCGTGCTTAACCGCTGGTCACCTGTGCTTGTTCACGTGTTTCTCTATCGACACGATGAAGCTCGGAAACGGTATGCTAGTCTAGCGAGCGATTGCGCTCTTGATCTCGTTTCTTGTATGGGTGTAAGGTGATCATAGTACTGAGCTACATTGGCCAATACACTCCTGAAAGCAGAGACTTTGGTGCGAATCCGTGGTATAACGACGACTGGGCTGCACAAGCGATTAATGAATTCCAAATGATCCTTGTGGTGTCTTGGGCGGATCTCGCTAGTCGAGTGATTTTCTCGCTTGGTTTGCTCATGACAACTACCAATATGAAGGAGTTACTGTATTCAATTCCGCGACGTGTAAATCAAGTCGTAAATTGCAAGGTCTTGTCGTTGGATATTCCTAAAACTATAAGACTGAAGGCTAGTGTCTTGCCTGTGTCTTGCCTGTGTCCCCATCGACGTCTTCGTTAGCCGAAAACGACGACGGCAACAAGAAAAAGAGCAAAGTGATATGGCGTTTTGGGAGTCTATGATGCATGGTATACATTTTCTATTCTTCACGTGGGGGTTAGTAGTGTTTAGCCTACACCTTCAGGCTTCAGTACAACCGTCGCTACAACAATGCACACTACAAGTGAGGCCGTGGGCAGTTAGACGACCGTACTGTTTTATGATATCTCTCGATTGTCATCGCCTACAAATGTCTGGCCAGTTGGACGAAGTGGACACTAAATGGCGCGAATTTGATGGCTCTACGGTGATTATGATGGTTATTAAACACTGTCCTTTGGTTGACATCCCTGATACCTTCACTGACTTCCACCAGCTCATCAGCGGTAAAGTTTATAATTCGACCATTGTCGAGTGGAGAGAATCCGCTGCAATTACAAATACGAATCACCCCGCGTTTCTATCTCTGATGCTCGTTCGGGTCAACATGACAGATGGGCAATTACCTGCAGGTTTCCAATCTTTTGACACGCCACTCAATTTGTACGACTATGAATTCTGCATCACTAATCTTCGTGAAGTTCCTGATGATCTTGACTTAAAGTGGCTCTCGGGATCGTATGTAATCCTCGAATATAGTGAATTGCAGACAGTACCATCAGCTTTGCTACGCATCATGCCACCATATTTTTCTCTAAGTGGCAACCCTATCAGTGAACTTCCTCCTGAGATCTTTGAGATCGAGGGCTTAACAGATCTAGGTATTGGCGATACGAATGTCCGACAACTTCCTCAAAATGTAACTCGTCTTTCTTCTACGCTCACATCTATCTACATCGAAAGGACGAGTATTTCCTACTTGTGGATGTGGACGCAGGAGATCCTCGGACGACGAAGTATTCGTAGAGTTCCCGAGCGATTTGTGCCAGCGGAACACCATATTGTGATGATCTGGAGAAAACATTAAACAAATCATCTGACGGTCTTAATGTGACTCTGCCCGAGGGCTATTCGTCGCAATTAATGAATCCTGTGGAGGCAAGAGTCATCTGGACGTTTGTGGACTGTGACCCCACCGTAAGTGGCTTCAGCGGACCACTCTATCCACTCGCAGCTGAGGACAAACAAAATGGACTGCATTGATGAGAAGGTGCCACAATACAGCTGACAAGACGTAGGTCAAACATTGGCTGAGAGGATAAAAATATTGCGATTTTAGAAATATGCGCTGTGTTTTTGTATTTCGGGAGACACGAATGTCGCCGGTGGGACAAATCAAGAAACTGAATAAGAAAATCGGGTTTCTGAAATATGAAGATTTTCCTCTCCAGAAAATAAAGCCCTATTAGAAAATTCTCGATTATTAGCGCAAGTGGGAGAACATAAAAGGAGAGATCGTTCTGAATCGAAAGAAAAAAAAAACAGTATCGGTACCATATTTATACGATATTTCGAAAGCAGATATTCAACATGGTGAAATTTGATTAACCAAACCACCATGGTTAGTTATTATGTATTTATAATTGTGGCATTTTGCTGCTGGGAAATACATACAAGTGCTGACTTGATATTTTGATATTTTTATCGCTTTAGTTTATCACTCCCAGAAAAAATGTAGACATTTGGTACTTTGTTTGAAGGCAGCTCCCTCCTTAAAAAATAGTATTGGTTTGCCGGCTGGTGGACCGCGGATTCGCAGCTCTTAGATATAATATACTTAATTTACTACGACATTACAGCATGTTTGGTGTGTGTAAGTGTGTGAGAGAGAGAACAAAAAAAAACCACTCGGGCCTCTCCAACGTAAATGACGAGCCCGACTACTTATCGCACGTAATAGGGACCCTGGACGGCCCAGTACGCCATCCAACGATGCGTGGATGGAGCAGCATCTATAAAATATAGAGAGAGCATAAAACAAATTTTCTTATGATGAAGGTCTTTACAACGTCTACATCACCGTCTGAGTCACCACCTCCGCCCACTTTTTTCGAAACGTGTGTCTCAAAAATGACGCCACCAAGATGGTTGACTGCATTTCACCCAAAAATGATGAGCCAGCCTCAAATCGGAAAATAAAATTAAGATTCTACGACGTTTATATGGCGTGATAGTCAATTATATGCTCGATCGCAATAACTAGGGCTACGCGAGGCTGGAATAGGTATATCTGAGCCACCACTACTTAACTGTGTACATATGACCGAGCCTCACAAAAAGTGCTCACTGACTACTGTCATCTTAAGTATCGATTGATTTAAAGTACCGTACCTCACAAAATAAAAGCTTCATGTCAACGATTTTCATGTCTGTTTGAAATGATTTTAATTAACACAGAGATAGCAGATTTTGTTTCGTCAAACCAATACCCGATTTACCAATGTACGCGCTACAATTCACTTATTTGAACTCTAAGAACTAATTCAGCAGAGCTAACCTACCATCGAGAGCTTTAATTTGACTGTAGTGTTGGAATCTTCAAAGTCAACTTAGACGTTTCACCAGAACGAGGCGTTGAAGTTGTCTAAGCCGCTGCCAGACTCAGGTCGTTACGCTCTCGCCATCGGAAGCGAGGCGTTCGACGAAAATAAGGTGGTCATTAAGATGTCGATCGTGATGACTGTGGTGATGGGACCAAGAGTTCTCTGGCGTTACCGGAGATCGACAGCAGTGCGAAGTGGACGAAGCAAGCGTGAAGAACTGGAGATCTACAAGAACGAAGGAGAACTCGATGCATTTGCAGATTACAGAACGATGACGTCAGATGGAAAGGAAGACGCATCGTTCCTATATGTACGGTGATGTCGCAATGGTGCTTGTCAGGTAAGTACGCAGGAGTAGCGAGATGTAGTGCCGGCGACGAAGCTAACGATTCAATTCACTTTCAATTTTAACATCAACTGCTCACTTGGTCTTTTATCTACGGCAGGAAATTCCCCGCGCGTTTCTGGAGCTGCAAAAGGGTCTGAGTCCAAGTACCGCACTTTACCGATTAGAAGACGTCGACGATGTCGGTCACGGGACGGCGCGACTTCACGGACCTCGATAGTCCTCAAGCGATGCCACCGATCGCACGAGCAGAGCGAGCACACCGTCGAAACCTGGGATTCGTCCACACTGAGCTACACAACGCAGTACGCGAACGAGTGCGCGAACAAGAAGCATTCAGCACGCCTCCGCGACGAACACGGCGCAACAACACGACAGGAAGCATCGCAGATGCGACCTCACCGGGCATAGCGGCAAAATCAAGCCCATCTACCCACAGCACACAGCTTTTGGACGCAGCGATGATGGTGGTGCTAACGGCGCGCCTGGAAGAGTCCAGGGCCCGTATAATCGATGCTATGGAAGTCATCCGGATGCAGCAAGGTATGCTGGACAAGAAAAACCGGGCGGAGCAGAGACTCGCTGCACTCCAAGCAGCAGTTCGCAAGCAGCACTATGAGAGTCACGAGCTAGAAGAAGAAGTCGAAGAACCCAAGCAGTCGGAGCGTGACGATGAAAGCTCCTCGGGCTGGGGACAGCAGGCATCTGCGATGTCCCAAATGACTAGTCTGGACGATCTCCATCGACCAATTATCGCCCAACAGTCAACTACCACTAAGTCATCAAATACCGGAATTACCAGACTAGACGATACGCCAAAGAGCAAAACGACTGGCTCTGCACCAGGTCGCACGAAGGAAGAGTGCGAGACACAAGCGCAAGAGTGGAAGAGATCAACCCACCTGTCGAGCAGAAGCCGACTCATTCACCAAAGACCGCTGAGAAGTCTTCTAAGCTTAAGGATATTCACTGCTGACGGTTCAATGGCAAGGAAGAGTATCCTGGCCTAGGAGCTGGACTCAAAGATTTTCTGAACGAATTCGAAGGTGCAATCAGAATGGAAAAACTCCTAAATAAGTCCACGTGGTCAATCCAGTTAAAGGCGCCAGTCCTGGGCACATTCTTGGAGGGCCAAGCAAGCCGGTCTTACCATGACTTCGTAGCCGACCGCGAGGTGAGCTACGAGGACCTAACGGTGCACCTGAAGAAAGAGTTCGGCTGCCACTTAAGCCAGTATGAGCTGGCTAGACGCATGGACGCACCTAAGCGACAAAACGACACGTGGAATCAGTACATCACTTACCTCAAGTTTATCGAGCGCTTAATGGTGGGAGATCGAACGCAACTACTGCTTGAAACGGTCTGCAATAATGCATGCCCGGAGGAGAAGTCAACTCTCCTCAGCAAAATCGACGAAACCAACACAAATTACATGGACGACCTAGACAAGGTCGTCGATTTACTGATCCGTCTCAAAGGTGACGGACGGCGCGTAGGTAGTGCGCGACCCGGAGACCAAGGGAGTGAACCTCGCCAACCTCAGCAACAAGGACAGCACCACAGCAGCGGCAACACTATTAGGAAACTTGTTGGTCAAGGTAACAGCCCTAAACAGCAGAAGCAATCTCAAACCACTGGTCAGCAACGTCAAGGTTTGAAGCAAAATCACAACGCTTAAACTAACGCAAGCGAGAAGACAATCACCTGCTGGAACTGCGGAGAACCAGACCACAAGAGTTTGCAGTGTAAGAAGCCAAAGAAACAGCAGCAGGCCTCGGTTCACCAAGCCCAGCGCCTAGAACGCGATGCCGACGAAAGTGACGATGAGAGTGCGGAGCTGTGGATGGCAAATGAGCACGGAGAAACGACATCATCAAACTGGCTGGTGGACTCAGGAGCGTCACACCACATGTGCTCCACGAGCACTCCACTGCTCGGCACTTTACCATCTGACTTGACCATCAGAGTGGCAAATGGTGGCCTGCTCCACGCTAACGTTAAAGGAAGCTGTATTATCCGCGCAAGCAATGGTTATACTACGCGATCCGTTCTTTTACATGAAGTGCACCAAGTTCCAGGTCTTAACCGCAACTTGATCTCAGTCACTGACCTCGGGGAACACGGGATCACTACTTCGTTTGGAGCATCAGCGTGTACGCTGACGAATCAACGTGGTGACATAGTCGCCATTGCTAAACGCCAAGGTAAAATGTGGATCCTGAACGGCGAGACAGCACGCACGGATGATAACGCAGCAGTGATGTTTGCGCAGATGACGAAGGCAACCTTACAGCACTGGCATGAACGTCTAGGGCACGTCAATTTCCAGGACCTCCTAAGGATGTACAACCACAGTTTGACGGAGGACAGGGATGTCGTCTCAAAGAAGCTAAAGTTCTGCCTGTCCTGTGCACAAGCAAAGCAAACCAAGTCGAAGCAACCTACAGTAGATACATCTACATCCGCACCCACCGACCAACTTGGAGCAGTTATCGGCGTAGACCTGAAGACAGATATCCAATCGGACAGGAACGGGAACAAGCATATGCTTACAATTGTGGACTACGCATCGAGCTACAACAGAGTCTTCTTGTTGCAGACAAAGGATGAAGCGGTAAAACACCTCATGAACTTTATACCCGAATTGGAGCGCCAGTTTGGAGTCACAGTAAAGACGATCAGGTCGGACAGTGGTGGAGGGTTTCGAAGTCACGAGGTCACTAAATACTGCTGTCGACACGGGATCGTTCATCAAGAAACTCTTCCGAATAAATCTGCTTCAAATGGAAAGGTCGAGCGCATCCACAGGACATTGATGAACTCAGGCCGTGCCATGGTCTGGGCATCCGGTCTTCCAGAACGATACTGGGGAGATGCCGTCAAGTATGCCTCATACATACCCAACCGACTTCCAACAAGAGCAAACGCAGATTACAAAGCACCTTTGGACGTACTCACTGGTAAGCCGCCAAAAGTAGGCCACATATTGAAGTTTGGTTCTACATGCACAACGCACGTCTCGCACAAGAAGGCCGCCTCAGTCAAGCGCCGAGCGGAGAAAGTAGTAGTCATCGGATTCTCAGAGAACCAGAAGGTTTATCGTCTTCTTCTGCCTCGT